TCCGACAACGGCAAACAATTTCAGTCCAAGCAGTTCTCACAGCTACTGCTGGCCTATGGAGTCAAACACATGAAGACGCAATCGAATGCGTCAGAAAGAATTAATCAATCTGTGCTGGCTGCCATCCGGTCATACCTGGAGAAAGACCATCGCGATTGGGATTTATATCTCTCCGAAATAGAGTGTGCTCTTCGAAGTGCAGTGCATTCCTCGACGGGAGTGTCCCCTTACTTCGCGTTATTTGGCACGAACATGTTCACTAATGGTGCCGACTACGCATTGGCCAGGAAGTTGTCTAGCCTTAGTGACAATGAAATTTTCTTGTTAGATACTAGCGACAAAATCAGACTCATGCGCGAAAAGGTCAAAGGAAAGCTGCACGAAGCTTATGAGACAAATTCGGCGCGTTATAACAAAAGAATACGCGCGATTCGTTTTAGGCCCGGACAAGAAGTCTATAAGCGTAACTTTATTCTAAGCGACTTTAAAAATAACATCAATTCGAAGTTTTGCAAAAAATTCACCAAATGCCGCGTAAGGAAAGCACTCGGGAACAACGTGTACCTGTTGGAATCGCTTGCAGGAAAAAGCCTGGGCGCTTGGCATGCAAAGACATTAAGCAGTAGGGTATTCCATCTCGGCGATCTCTCCGGCGATGAGGTTCAAGTCGTCCGGGGAGGAAGCAATCAGCCAAAACGTAGCACGAAGGACCTGAAATGGCTCACAAAGTAAATTTCCACCATAAAAAAAAGGCTAATGAACATCCCGTAATCCTTCCATATGTAAGAGCACATGCGCATAACACATGCCCGGCTGAGCTCTCGAAGCAGGAGACCGTGTCAGCGGTGGGTGTTCCCCACGTTGGGGAACAGGAACAGGAAGTTATTCGATTGCACGCCCAGGAATTTTGAATGTTGTACGCAAAGGCAGTAGGGCAGTAGGGCGGCACAACTCGCTGGTGAGTGCTAGGGTTAAGGTATTCCATTTGTACAAAAGCTTTATGCGATTTTATGGCTCACGCGAGCGAAAAGCTCCAAAATAGGAATATCGGAGGAATTCGGAGTTCATGGTTCTGGTCAGCCGAGACGACCACCACAATCCCATAAACCATAAAAAAGAAAAAAAATCCTATTAGCGAAGAAGCGGTCCAAGGTGAAATACACAACGTNACTGGTCAGCCGAGACGACCACCACAATTCCATAAACCATAAAAAAGAAAAAAAATCCTATTAGCGAAGAAGCGGTCC